GCATCCTTCATCCGGTTCAGCAACACTCTGTTGAAGACTTTCCCTGGTATTGATAGTCGTTACGGGAGAACTGAAGACATTCGGCGGATTAAAACCTTTATTGTACATTAATAATTTACTGTGTTTTTAGATGTAATTGTTTTACTTAACTTTTGACATTGTTTGTTTACATCAGTATTTCGGACATTTTGGTTTGATATTTTGGTGCTCTCTTTGTCTTTGGTTTGGTATTTGGGAGTTTTGCTCCGGAAACCTACGAAATTGAAGGTTTGTTTTGTAATTGTTATAATTATTGTTGTTAGAACGACATTTGACCGATTTTTTGTGAATTACGAATAAATTTGGTATCTAAATTGGAGCTTGGTTCTGTTGTTAATTTGGGTTCGTAATTTGCAAGTAGATCGATAGTCCATACTTCAATAACTGGAACGAGCAAAACTTGAACGTAACAATAGTAGTGTAATGCCTCTGTAGTTTTCACATTTGCTCAGATCTCCTTTCTTTGGAATCTTGACGAGGTGTCCTTCTTTCCAGTCCATCAGCACTTGCTCCTCCTCCCAAATCTTTTTGAATAGAAGATAAAGCATGCTTATGGTTGCTTCGATGTCTGATTTCAGTGCTTCAGCTGGTATGTTGTCGGGTCCTGCTGCTTTCCCGTTCTTGATTTGACTGACGGCCATTCTAATTTCTTCCGTCGTTGGTGGGTTGACATCTATAGGAAGATCTATGTGTGCTGCTTCGATGTCCGGTGGATTCATTGGAGCTAGCCTATTCAGGAGAGCCTCGAAGAATTCTACGCATCTGTTACGCCGTTGTTGAATTTCGGTGATGGGCTTGCCTTCTTTGTCTTTGACCGACCTCTCCGGTTTACTGTATTTCCCTGCTAGTTTCCTCGTTGTATCGTAAAGCTGTTTCATATTTCCTTCTCTTGCAGATTTTTCCGCCGTCGTAGCTAGTTCATTCACGTATTTCTGCTTGTTGGCTCTAATCCTTTTCTTCACTCGCTTGTTTGCTTCTATGTATTCAGTTTGTGCTTGGAATTTCTCTGTTCGTGTTCGGCTGTTGTTTGTTGCTGCCTTCTTGTTCTTCCTTTCTTTGACCTTATCCAGTGTTTCTGTAGAGATACATTACTTATGATGGTATTTCTTTAAACCCAGAACCTCTTGACACGTTGAAGTTAATGCTTCCTTGATGCCTTTCCAGTTGTGTTCCATACTAGTTTCGTCTTCTTTCAGTAGATCTTGTAAGGCTTGGAACCTGTTGTTGAGAGCTACCTTGAATTCATTGAGTTTTTCAGTATCTCGAAGGCAGGCTGTATTGAACCTTTGTAGTGCTGTTTGTCCACTTGTCCAGTTCTTTTTAGCTTCAGTTTTAAATTGACCACAACTAGGTGGTGATCTGAAGCTATATCAGCTCCTCTCCTGGTTCTCACATCCTCCATTGTCCTTCGGAATTTTTTGTTGGTGCATATATGGTCTATCTGGTTCTCTGTGGTGTGGTCCGGTGAGATCCATGTAGCCTTGTTTATACGCTTGTGTGGAAATATTGTGCCTCCTATGACCAATTTGTTGAATGCACATAGATTTTCAAATCTCTCTCCATTTTCGTTTCTTTCTCCCAGTCCATATCGTCCCATAATATCTTCATATCCAGTGTTGTCTATTCTGACTTTGGCATTTAGATCTCCCATCAGAATAGTTAGGTCCTTTCTTGGGCATTTCTCAATGACTGACTGCAGTCGCTCGTAGAACTGATCTTTAATTTCGTCGTTGCTATCATTGGTGGGTGCATAACATTGGATAATATTCATTAAGATCCCCTCTTTCTTTGTGTTGAATGATGCTTTGATGATTCTGGATCCGTGAGATTCTCATCCTAAAAGTGCATTTCGTGCTACTTTGGACAGCATAAGAGCGACTCCTTGAATGTGTGGAGCATTGTCCTCTTCGTGACCGGACTATAGCAGCATCTCTCCCGTAGCTAGCCTTTTCTGTCCAGCTTGGGTCCAATGGGTTTCGCTGATTCCCAGTACTGCTAAGTTGTATCTCCTCATTTCCATTGCTATTTGACTGGTCTTCCCGGTTTCCCACATTGTTCGAACGTTCCATGTACCTATAAAAATTTTTGCACTGGTTGTTAGAAGGGGCATCGGCCTCGTGGCTTCCAAAGGAGCTCGGCTTTCACTATGAAGCGTCACAATTCTTCTAAATGAAGACCTTCTAACTCCCAGGGCAGAGTTAAAATGGTTTGGATTATTTTTCCTGGTAAGCGTTTTTAGCGAGTTAGTTTTCTACGGGATGGGTACGCTAACCCCATGCCCAACCCTCCTCCTTTACCCGGGCTTGGGACCGGCAGTAACCCTATAAGAGCTACAGGCGGATATTATCTTTCGTTCTTAAGAACATATCAAGTTTTCTTTTAAGGTACTCCTGTGAAGTCTCTTGCATCAGCACAACCGGCAGCAAATTCCAGCAGTTGAGAACTATAAAGGAGTAGAAGTAGGGTTTACAGTTGTTGTGCTGTGTCCTGTCTCTGATAACTGGATGATACCCCCTAGGTTATGTTGGACCTAAACTTAAATAGGTGTTTAAGGGTATGCCAAGAAGTGTTTATGATGCTGTAGGTTGGAAATGCCACAGGTATTTGGAGTTTGACAACGCTTCAACCAGTAACACCTAATATGAAGCGTACCCACCAAGTGAAATGAAAAGACAGAAGAAAGGAGGTTCGAAGATATACTTGATAGGCTATCAATTTGTCGTGGGTCGACTGATTTAATCTGACTGGTGATTACAGATGATGTTGAGCACAGCGTTCCCACTTGTGATCTGGTGAGGATGCATGACCGAGCGCCGTCAGCAAGGTCAGTCCATTAGAACTAATGTGGCCAGCAACAAATGTCGTAGTTACTTACAGAGCTATTTATTTTGGGAATCTATTTGCCACCACAAGGTCACCTCTAAGACTCCTGTACTGTAATGTGTCAATGTTCAGTAGTTGGGAGCAATCTCCATAAGACTTGAAATTGAGTCTTTGAACTGATATTGTGGCTAACCGCAGGATACGTCTTTATCATTTAGGAGTGAGGGATGGAATACTATGTTTACGTACTGTAAATGGAAACGAATAAAAATGTCGAACTGGCCAAAAATGCACTTCGGCGTTACCAGTGCAAATTTTGTTCGGAAGTAAGAGTAAGACTTCAAATCGTAGGGTACCAAAATCCTAACTCTTTTTCAACTTGGGATACTTGTAAAGAGAAGTATCCTAAGTTGTAACTGTAGTCTGCAACATATCCGATTGACAGTAAACAATGCTCATTATATTCTAACCCTCCTAGAATATCACTTAGTCGTTTGATATTTCCAAGTAAACTACAAGCATCGAATAAACCAGTTCAACAACCTTAAAGATTAAGATGAAATCTGATATAAATCCGATTACAACGTTTACAGTAATATTAGCAATTCACGGTTTACATGCAATGAAGAAATCGCTGGTAAGCAATATTTAACTACGAAATGGTTTACTTACCATGCTTAAAACAAACATGCATCGTTTAACGATGTTAAAATGTGTTCGTTTCAAGTACTAAACATATTGCTGATTACCATGATACGACGAGTTAGTGCAGATTATGATGTGACTTCCACGTAAGATCTTATAAATAAGATAGTCATTTTATGACAAATCTACAATTTTAGCATGATATCTATTATTAGAATAGCACTAATACCGAACTGTTAGTAATTTACATACTCATTCATTTCCATTAATATTAAACCCATTTCTATTTCTCCGTTGATTATTGCTAATGTGAGCCATCGTTCCGTAACACTGTTAAGTACTCAGCTTAATTACCCGATCAATAAAGATAACCAATTATATTTATGTTCAGTTATGATAGTATATTAACAAGCTTTTGTAGCACTTACTATATTCTTTAGAAGCACTTACATGCTTCAATCAAATAAACTTGTAAAAACATCCAGCACTAGCGAAAATGGACATTGCCGACAAAAATACACATAGGCTAGCAATTGATGTAAGCAAAGATCGAATAGCTATTCGTGTCTTCTCTTTTCATTTGGCATTTATATTTATTTCTAATCATCGACTATCGCTTAACGTTCGAGAGATGATGAGACGTTTCTGAAGGGAAAAACGTTTGAGCTGTAAGACTAACTGGCTTCTCGCACAATGACGGTTATCGTGTCAGAATAGACTGCAGATTATGGGAAATATCGCTAATAAAAATGGCAAGGCCAGATAGCAAAACACATAAGACGGCTTATTTTAATCTACATGCACCATGGTACAAGGTTGCATACGTCTGACCCGGTACCAGACGTAACATGAGTTAAAATGCAAGCCGCGATTTACTACTACCTAGTTTATTAACACCTGTAGCTGGTCGTCATTTAACATCACATAATATTGTATAACTAAGTTATTACAAAACAACTCGAAACTCACCGCGCAATGAGACAGGTCAGAAGAAAATACCGCACTAACGCTACAAACCAAAAACCCCTGAATTAAGAATGATCTAGAGGTCAGTTTGGGCAAACTTCTCATATCCAATATCTTAGTCACGAACTTGTATAGGCAATTTGATTTCTTTGCGCCCATTTCTTGATGTTTCGGGTATTTGCTAATGTCCTATAAGTGGTAGTCTAACCACTCGACTACACTAATTCCAGTCAGTGTGGTAGCTATTTGTGGATTTGTATATTTCAAAGTTCATTGAGTGTGTTTGTCTCAGGACAGTAGGTTTCTGGATGCTAGCAGCTATCTATCATATTACCAGATAGGAGGTTTGTTGGTTGAAATGTGAAATAATAAAGTGATAACTCGAGTGCTAACAGAAGACGATTGTTTCGGGAACAAATAATTCATTTACTAAATTGGTAATGTGTAAGAAGACGGAATTGAAAGGATAGGAGGGGAGATGGAGATGTTAACAAGAAAGACAGGAAGTGGTTATTGATACACGGTAATGATAACAGTGGTAAACTATCGGACATACATCAGACACAGATAATCTAGGAATCAGATCGTAATCCATGGGTGAGTATGTGTTTGTCAAGTCTCTTGACGCTATCCACTGATGTGGCTATGGGCAATCCGGCTGCTACGACATTCCGAATGGGAGCAACTTCTGATGAGGAAAGGTGGAAACTCACCTGAGTGTTCGTTCTTTGATGTGCAATTCTCCGAGGGTTGCCTCGAGGAACGTCGTGATGATGTTCTGCTAATACATTCGTCTTGGAGTGATTTAGTGTAGTTAATATGTTGTATGCTATGGTCAGATCACCTTACTCTCCTGTGGTTCAATGAGAATAATCTCAAGTGTTGGAGTCTGTTCTCGTGAGACTTCAGTTTTAGTTCTATCGCCCACTTCTTGGCCCATTCCTGTACTTGGTATAAGAGATTCACAACTTTTGGAAAGAGGATCGGGCCAACATTGTGGACTTCAAGTTGGGAGCGTGAGTACACTTCAAGCAGTGTCAGGAACAATTCTGTTATGTTTGCGTCAAGTCTTCCTTGTATTAAGCGGAGAGATGAGTTCGTCTTGGCTTCTTCCTCTAGGTAGTTTCGGAGGTTGTCACACGGGACAGGCCTTTCCTGAACCCGTGTTTGGTTTCACATCTCTGTGGGTGCACGTATTCCCTGATTTGTGGACTTTTCCCTAATAATGAATCTGTCGAGACATTTGAAGTCAGCTTGTAATTTGGCTCCTAGCTTGGCCTCAGAACATCTATTTAATCGTACTTCGGCGTTGCATCTATTTCTCGATGCCATAAAAGAGCTACGGTCAAAATCCTTCCTATAGGCTTTCGTGTCGATGAGTAACCGTGCTATTGATAGAAGAAACTAGACTAGTAGTAAATGATGGTTCGAAATAAACACAGGCACACAGTTATTCAACTAATCGGTAGTCAAATCGGATGCAGCAATTAAATGTTCGTACTAAGTTGTTAAGATCTTCACCGTCACACACCTTGAGAACAGACCCTGAGGTCCGTAAATTTCATTTGGTTATTAACCCAAAGGATTATTCCTAGTTGACTCAACAGGTGTTCTGTGCCTCACTTCAAACCCACTATTAGCGCTTGATCGCACACATCAACTACGAGCTGGTAATTAGATAATCTAACCATCCTAAATTCATGGCTTTGTCTACATGTTTATTCAAGACTAAACATTTGATGGTCCTGATATGTTGCTTGCAAAGCCATCCTCTAGGTATCATGTCCTCCGTACCGACGTTCAGGAATGTGACAAGGTCCCCAACTGAGTATCTGACTAAAGTCCAGGTATGACAGTAGCGATATTACTTGGAGTACCTTTACTTCTTGTGTTACTACCCGTAAGGCAGCAGTCTCAAATAATTAATGCGTGTACCGTTATCTTACACATTATAAATATGTAGAGCATTCATTCGAATAATTCATTGACTACTAGTTTTAAGTCACAACACAGCATCTATAAAGCGTCTTTACTTTGTTTGTTGTATAATGTCAACTTAATTAATTAGCTTAATGCAATAAATGTTATAACGATATGATCTTGCTTGTAAACTAGCACTACATATGTTAACTATTGTTGTGAAAACATGGACACTAAATCAATCAGTTAAAATCAACTATATCGTTTTAGTGTTTATTTAGTCTTAAATCGTATCAGTCAGTCAGTCAGTAACAACGTATTCTGATTTGTGACTGCTTGGTTCAAGTGGGCACAAATGACGAATAGGAAAGACCGTCGCACAAATTGAGAGAATATGGTCCGCTCGGTTTGAATAGAAAGTTGTACATTAAAATAAAAAGAAACCATTCTGAGCAGTTCATGGATTATCGCAACTAAGTAACAGAAATTTACGCGTAATGCTTATATATATAATAAAACACCAAATTGAAAATAACATGTTCGGTAATGGAATAAAATTTTAAGCGCAATTATAAATAAATAATTATTTCGGATATACTTGTCAAACATATGCGTTACGATTCAGTAGGCTCAGTCGTCCTTAACTGAGTGACAGATTCAGTATTTTTAAACTGACCCTCTATACCGTCTTGACTATGTCCTGACATGTTATTTACTTCCGTCTTACTTGGTTCAGAGTTTTGTTGTTCAACGATAACTGCTTCTTCTTCACTTATACCATCTTCGCTTTCATCTGAATCAGAAGCATCTTGAGGTACAGAGTATATGCGAAGTACAGGCTAGAAACAGTGTAATATAAATAAGGAAATTTCTATCAGCCAATATCTCCAATGATTAATAAACACAATACAAAAAGCAAATATTGTAAATATTCACCGTGTTAAATACACCTCTTATGCCATCGACAGGCACTGATATCACACTTTGAACATCTTTCCATAGTGAATCAAGTTTACTCTGAATGACTCGAAGATCTTATTTGACCGAAAAAATGAATAGCACTAACATACTCAGAGTCGACCTCATATATGCACAAAATAAAGAAAGTGATTATCTTTGTAAACAGAGTCCAAGCATGAAAAATATCTCATAGAATGCCGTTTCTGACTGGTTTTATGCAGTTGTCTTGTGGTGCGTGCTACTTATATTGATATAAGTAGTATATAACGTGTGTCAAAAGAACGTAATGGCTGGCAGCAGAAGATGGAGAAGATCAAGAAAAGAAGAGCGAGAAAACAATGGAATTTGTAAGAAATCGCATGAGCAATGAAATGCGAGACAATGGATTGATGTTTGCAAAAGCAACAGCCCTGTTTGATATGATAGAATGATATTTTGCAAATTAACGATTTACTATATGGTTTTTCTATTTTACCAAGTAATTCTGCAATTTGTCCTAAATACAATTTGGCTGTCCTCACTCGTGTTCTTCTTCACTACATTTGGTGTCGCTGCCTCCATTGAGGATGAAGATCCCATGGCCGAAGAAGTTTGAGGACGGAGATGTGCTGAGCTTCCTGAAGGAGTTTGAGGCCGTGGCGGAGCTGGTGGGAGTGAAGGAGCCGAAGTTGGTGGTGCTGGGAACGCTGCTGAGAGGCAGGGCGAAGGCGGTGTATGACAGCCTGGACGGTGCTGGCGGGAAGACCACATGGGAGGCAGTCACGGAGCGGTTGGCGGCGGAGTTTGACAGCCCAGTGGACAGAGAGGACGCGCTGCAGAAGTTCCGGTTGGCGAGGTTGCCGGTCGATGGGGACCCACTGGTGCTGGCTGTGGAGCTTACCAGATTGTTACGCCGTGCGCTGCCGAGTCTGGATGAGGAGTCGGAGGCACAGTTGTTGGCGTCACAGTTTATCGAGAGTGTGCCTGCCACCGTCTCCCAACAGCTGAAACTGGTGAACGCAGCGCAACCGATGGATATCAGTGAACTGGCGAAGGTGACTCGTCAGCTGATGACGCGAACAGTAGCTCCGGTCGGGTGCGGAAAGCAGGAGATGAGTAATGTCGAGAAGAAGATTGAGGAGCTGGAGCGCGAGACTGCAGCAATACGAGTGAAGAATAAAAGGAACGATAAATGTTACGCTTGTGGAGGGACAGGACATTGGAAGATAAACTGTCCAACAAGACGAAGACGCAGATATGTTAGACGTTACAACGAGTGTTCTTTCTATCCTAGGAATCTGGGGATTGTTGCGTTAGTAGACAGAGGGGCAGTATATACGAGAGTGAACATAAATGAGCGAGATTTAGTTTGTCTGATCGATACAGGTGCAGCAGTATCGTTAATAGGCAAAGAGCAATGTAAGAGAATCAAGCCGTGTACATTAGCTGTCCACACGATAGGGGGCCATATGTTAGAGGTGTTTGGTGTATCTAACAGTATCGTAAAAGTGGGGGATGCGGAGATAAATTTTCCGTTCGTCGTAACCACAAGCTTATCGAGACCGATATTAGGAGCAGATTTTCTAAGAGAAGTAAACGCGATAGTTGACTTAAGAAGCGTTAAGGTGGTCACGAAATATGGTTCATTGACAATACACGAAAGTAGCGAAGTGGCTGAAATAAGAGTTGCAGCGGATGTCTCGTCAAAGAAACCAAACATTCACGAGTTATGCAAAAAGTATGCGGGACTATTCACTGGAGATGGGGAGCCGTATGGATTTTGTGACAGAGTAAAGCACGAAATACCGATAAAGAACAGTCGAGTAAATATATTTGCAACACGTCGTGTCCCGGTGCATTTAGAGGCCGAGGTAAATCGTCAGGTCCAGGAAATGTTAAAAGAAGGTATAATTGAGGAAGCGGACAGCCCATATAGCTCGCCGGTACTCTTGGTAAAGAAACCAAATGGAAAGTATAGATTTTGTGTCGACTTCAGAGAATTGAATAATATAACAGACCTGAAGCCTTGTGCAATGCCAACAGTGGTAGAAACATTAGATCGGCTACAGAATGCCACGGTGTTTACAGAGCTGGATTTACGGTCAGGTTATTGGCAACTGCCTATAAAAGAGAGTGATCGGAGCAAGACAGCGTTTACTGTACGGGATAAACAGTATCAATTTAAACGAATGCCGTTCGGGTTGGCGGGTGCACCGTTCACGTTCAGAAGATTAATGACACTACTGCTCAAGAATCTAGATAATGTCGAGGTATATGGCGACGACGTAGTTGTGTACAGTCAAACAGAAACAGATCACATCAAACATGTGGAAGCGGTCTTAAAGCGAATTGACGGATTTGGACTTCGGATTAATAAGGACAAGTCGCAGATAGCGAAAAGTAGCGTCACATTGTTGGGACATAAAGTGGGAAATGGAGAAATAAAACCATTGCCGGAGAAAATTCTTACCATAAAAAATATTGCAGTACCTAATTCGAAAAGGAAGTTGAGACAGTTCCTGGGAAGAGCGGCGTTCTACAGTCGGTTTGTCAAAAATTTCAACGAAATAGCAGCACCCTTATATAAGTTATTGAGCAGCACCAAGTTTACGTGGACTGAGACTGCCGAACAAACGTTCAACCGAATCAAAAACATGCTAGACGATCGCCAGATGACGCTTAGACTGCCTGAACCAGGAAGACTGTTTACAGTGGCCACAGACGCGAGTGATCATGGTATAGGTGCTGTGTTGAGTCAGGCGGATAGAGTGGTGGAATACGCGAGTCGCGTCCTCACACCTGCTGAACAGAAGTATTCAACCATCGAAAAGGAGTGTTTAGCGATCGTGTGGGCAGTGGAAAAATGGAGACCATACCTTTTAGGTAGACGATTTCACATTGAGACGGACCATAAACCCCTGCAGTGGTTGAAAACAGCAAGAGACCCCCGAGGGAAGTTGGCGCGATGGATGATACGCCTGCAAGAATACGATTTCAGTATCGGCCATGTTCCAGGAAAAGAAAACGTAATGGCAGATTACTTGTCAAGACCAGATATGGAAGCCGACCTGCCATTAACAGCATACGCGGTGAATAGTTTAGAGGGAGACCCATTAGAACTCGTCCGGCAGCAGAAAGCTGACCCTAACCTTCGAGAGGTAATCAGAGTGATAAAAGAGGGAGCAGACGTAGATAAACGAACAATGGACAAGGAGGTAATAACGCTGCTTCGGCAAAAGGACCGACTGAGAGTGAACTCATATGGAGTGCTGACCTGGCAGGACGATGATGAAAATTGGGTGGCGGTGATCCCGAAAGACTGGCGGCGTAAAGTGATACACGAGTGTCACCAGGTAGCACATACAGATATCGCAAGAACGACGGACTTACTACGACAAAGTGCATACTGGCCGAGCATGAGAGACGATGTGGCTGAATACGTGTTAACCTGCCAGCAGTGTCAGCTAATGAAAAGCGATCGATACACACAACCGCCATTACAGTCAATCCCAGTAACCGCAGTCGGTGATCTATGGTCGGTTGATGTGATGGGACCGTTTCCACAGACGGCGAGCGGTAACCAGTATCTGTTAGTGATGACGGAACATGCCACACGTTGGGTAGATGCCGTACCCATTGCAGACCAGCGGGCAAGGACAGTGACCGAGGTGGTAATCCGGCATATTGTAGCGTGTCACGGAATACCGAAGATGATATTAACTGACCAGGGTCCCTGTTTTGAAAGTGACGAGTTTAAAGCCCGTTTAAAGCAGTTTGGCATCAAGAGAATACGAACTACACCATATCATCCTCAGACAAACGGGCTTACAGAGAGAAACAATCGGACGTTAAAGGAATGGTTAGCATCAAAAGGAGGAAATTGGGAGAAAGAGTTACCATTGATTTTGCTGGCACATCGTTCCTCAACACAAGGAACAACCAAGAAGTCACCTTTCTTGCTCATGTATGGCAGACAACCACGACTTCCAATGCATAATAAGACCTGGCCACAACAACAGAAGTGGACGACAACAAGGTTAAGAAAAGAGAGGAGGGAGGCAGTAAGGAACGTGGAGAAGAAACAAATATCAGACATAAAGAAGGCGGAACAACAGAGGAGAACGTAGAAACCTTTTGCAGTGGGGGACCTAGTAAAGTGTAGAGAACGAAAAAGTAACATAGCAGGGGGAGCAGGGTCGGGGAAGCTGGCCCCAAAATGGGAAGGACCGTATGTACTCACGGAGAGACGCGGCTCGGTCTACACGATCCGGAGAGAAGACAAGCAGAAGCGCGTAAATGCTAGTCAACTACAGAGATGGTTTCAAGATCATCATGGGTGTGAATCACGAAAAGCACCAAAGAACACAGCGGTACGGAGATCAGAAAGACTACGACAGCAACTTGTTAAAAGGGGGGACGAGTATGGTGCGTGCTACTTATATTGATATAAGTAGTATATAACGTGTGTCAAAAGAACGTAATGGCTGGCAGCAGAAGATGGAGAAGATCAAGAAAAGAAGAGCGAGAAAACAATGGAATTTGTAAGAAATCGCATGAGCAATGAAATGCGAGATAATGGATTGATGTTTGCAAAAGCAACAGCCCTGTTTGATATGATAGAATGATATTTTGCAAATTAACGATTTACTATATGGTTTTTCTATTTTACCAAGTAATTCTGCAATTTGTCCTAAATACAATTTGGCTGTCCTCACCCGTGTTCTTCTTCACTACAGTCTGTTTGGATCTATAGTCACGCTACGAGGTCAATAAGATAATCACTGGCCCAATTCCTTTGATAGCCCTACCAGTAAAAATATTCTTAGTGTGAGCTGTCACGGAGTAGCTACCGCAAATTTACCTATTACAGCACTCGAGAACTTCCTGTTCCTGAAAAAACCCTTTCATTTCTTACTAGTTCAGTTGTCTTCACGACCAACCCTCCTCACACATCTTTATTATCATGAGTCACAAATGCGGATGATTTGACAAAACGAAATGTTATCTCTTTTCCTTTGAAAGTGTCCTTTAAAATACATATAAGAACTTTCAATATTCGAACCTTGTGGCAGATGGAAGAACAGTGGCGACTGGCTGACTTATCAATGTAATAGATTTTAAGGATTTGGAAGTTGATGAGACTAGTTCTGGAAAATATGACACAGTGATCCAACCCGAAACAATCGAGACAACTCTGAAAAGTTTAACAACTCTCGAGATACCCTTCACTTGTTTACTTCCGCCAAGCAACCTGGATGGGATATCGACATAAACCCATTGAAAACTAAGGAAATAGAACCCATAGCTAATCTAAATTGAGGGTGAAAAGCCTTGTTAGCTTAACCCTAAAGACCCTTAACTATAGTGGTCCAGTCATGGCTGTTAGGTCGTATGAGATCCTAGCCAGAGTCTAGGAACTAGACTCAATCGTATCTAACTGATATCCATCACTGATCGTTCCATTTTACGATAAAAGGAAAAAATCCATTCGTGAGAATCATAGAAGAATCAGTTTGACTAACGTAGTACCTAAAACACGAGCTTCGGTAACCATTGAACGCTAAACTATGGCTCCTGACATAAAAACAAGGCTGGTTTTGGACACGTATGTGGATGTGCAAACCGAAATTCCGCCTTCTGCCAGGTTGTGGGACACAAACATAACTAGTGACTCCCAACCATAGGTAAATTACTTGACCTTAAAGCAGTCTATCAAACACGGCAAATCGAAGCAGTGAATCTACATACAGTAAGAACGTGGATTATAAATGCCTGTCCACCACCTACCTCGATGCGTACTCATGGCTGGTGTACAAAATATGTTTGAAGTTAGGAGCCACTAGAAACAAATCTGTCGCAGGTTCATAATCATTGAAAAATGATCTGACCCATATATGTATATGCAGACTACCTGGTTGGGGTTCGCATGATTATCCTAAACAATGGTTAGAGATTGTGTAACACGGTTCAAAATTGTTCATAGTAGCAGTGAAACATTGACTTTTTGCCTTCCAAAATCTTCTTACATTTTTTCTTTCTTGTTATGTGATGGGTTCTTTTGTATTCGGTCAGTGACATGCTGGTTATGATAAACAAAATTACTATTTTGCCTGGGATGAGATCGACTTTAACTTGAATATCAACAGTTTACAGTCAAGTAGACAAGATAGAATAAGCTGGGAGGTAAGCGCATACAGTTGTACGAATTCTACTAATAACCGTGAAAAAATTAATATCATGTCAAACCATATTACTTGTAATTACTATCGCTCCCTTATTATTGATTACTCTGTTATGTTTATCAGCTTGGTTTCCAGGGATGCTAAGAATTATTCTTAGATCATTAAAAATTGTCTTGTACGACACTTATCTTTGTTGTAAGATGTGCTTCGGTGAACCTCACTACACACTTTTTGTCACTGGGTTAGGCGACGGGGTATTAAACATCCGCAGACAATGAACAAACACAAATGACATCGAACTATCGATGTGTAAATTTCCGAGCTATTTGTCGTCAATCTTTGATAATCCTTAAAGAACGTTATTCCTTTCTTGATCAAAAACACTACTGATTGTTTCTCTTTCCAATAGTATATTGGGGCTATCGAATGTGTGTTTAAGCAAAAAATAAAGTAAAAATGTAATGAGATAATAAAACCAAAGATACAATTTACATATACATCGACAAACCTTATTAGGATCCTTTAACATTAGATATTTGCCTTCAGGCATTTTCATGAAGAAATCAACAACACATCGCAGAATACCCCAAGCATTATCCATATTTAAATTCAGCTGATTGGCGAACTCCGATGGTTTGAACTGTTGTGTGCCCAATATGACATGACGAGATGAGTCACGGGGATTGACGCGAGATACAAATCTACAAAAAAATAAGACAATGATCATTGAGAAAACATACGATTGAAATACACGATAAAAATAGATCTACAGTTCTTTAAAATTCAAACAATAAAGAATATAACTGATAGTTTTTATAATGTGATTGGTAAGAAAATGTGTAAAAAATATCCATTCATAAGATACTAAGAAGAAACATGTAATGACATTCGAAATGTGGATGCGGAATAACATTATTACGTATCAACATATATGGAACGTTCGAATTATAGTAGATACCGGATGTAGAAGGCTATCAACATGGCAAAAAGAATAATTGAACAGTCAATCTATTGGCAAACAGAACAAAAATGGGACATCTATAACATGGGTAAATTCTTAATGTTTAAAGACACCTTTTCAGAAATAATTATTATTATAGGAAACTAACTACAGTTACAATAAGTTCTTAAAAAGGGCTTAAAATTTAACACCATAATTAATATAAACTTTGAATACAGCACGAAAAAAATGACCGTATAGACTAAAGTTCTTTAGTTTATACAAAAACATAAAAGCTATGAAGGATGGCTCAGTGGTGACAGCCTAAGTGTTCAGACATTAGGTTTTAAGTTCGGACTCCGCTCAACAAACTTCATTCTGGCTATTCGAGAAGTAGTAGATGAGTACACAAAACTACATTTCGGTAACTAAGTTTTAAATCATACGACTAAAATATGATTATTAAACCTTTTGGTAGATTCTGACATAATTTTCGAGACGCAAACCATTTCCATCAGAAAAATAGGAAACTATTGAGAAATTCAATATATAATTCAGTAACGACTTATACCTCTTAGAGAAAGCAGTTAATTTATTGTTGAAAATTATACACATACACAATTAATTACACATCAATTAATAGAAGCTACCGCTAGATTCATGCACTCAAAATGATCTGTTAACCGAATATGTAAAATGTCAGTCAGTAGATCACAAAGTAAAAACGGGAGGATATGTAAATCGATTCAATTTGACATTCCCCATTAGCACAGAGAGATGAAGTTTTCAGGCCAAATCCAAAAAATAGTTCAAGTAGTAACATTATTAGTGGTGATTTAAAAGACTAAGGATCGAATTTATGATTTAAGAAAATAAAAGTAGGTGAAATCAAAAGACAAAAAACTTATGAGTTATTCAAAAGCTCAGAATTCGGGGTAAGATAAAGAACGATTTTGAGTCATGCCAGCTTAACCATTGGTTACGATAGTCACACAAACCCCAACCAAGTAGTCTACTCCTGCCATAATGACTCAGTCCAATTTTCAATGACTTTATGGACTAATGCCATGCTTTAGTTTGACTGACCCTAGCTCTCTTTCAGCCTGTTCATACACCATACAACATTGTGCGTCGAGGTGGACGGTATTCGGGCATACATAATACATGTCCCAACCACCTAAGTTGATCAAACTTTCTTTTACCTCAACAGTCGATTTGCATATTCAACTAATACCCTATTCCTGACCCAGACACTATCTACTCAGTGGTTCAAAAATACTAGTAACCTGGGAATAGCCTCTATTCTTAATGGGAGTGTTCCACTCATTAAAATTAGCTGCTATTAGTACTAAATCAGAGCGCTGAAAAGCTCATAAATCTCGGCGTTAACTTCACCCGAGCGGCAGTGAATGAGAGCGACAATGAAAAGGCAACGGCGTGTCTCTATCTTTTCGAGTTCTTACTTCCCCGTTTAGTCAGACAGTGCAGAAGCGATTGCTAAATGGAATCTAGTCTAGGGGAGCCTGTTCTGTTTAAGAAATCAATGCTACACCTAAACCAGTGAGGCAAAAGGAAATAGCAGTGGAGTGTCCAGATACTCGAACGATAAGTCGTGCCGTTCCTTCATAATGACAATGTGAGGTCTGATGAGTGACCGTACCTGGACCCTGTATGCGCGTCCAAGAGACGCAGCATACATCGATGACGCGGAATTCTATAGTCCTAGCTCAAGAAGTCTGTGGTCCTATCCTACACAAGTTTCGAAGATTAAAAGCTCCAACATGTAGTTTAGAGAGTGGCTTCAGGAGACCAAGAATAACGTTTCGTGAACTCAAATCATTAGCGTTGGTGGGGCATGTTGACGAAGATAAATGAGAAGAGCTGTCGTGGGGATAGAAGGATTATTAAGAGGTGATGGAGGAGTTCGATTTTGAACAAGATCTCAGTTGCTGATGGAGGTGTGAGGGCGGTTGTTACCTCTCGGCTGCCCACATTGTGAAGAGATATTTCTGTTTGGAGGAAATAGGAAGGAAGGTGAATTAGTGGCGATCTTGGTGGTCTGGGAGCGTGATTGCAGAGCCCATAGGACAACTGCTTGAGGTCGAACGCGCGCAGCCTTTTTATGGGTTGATGAGTTGGCTCCGCAGTTCAAAAGGTCTTAATGTCAGAGACGAAATTCGTGAGGTCAGGTTTGAAAATTTTAGGGTTGTCCTTTCCTTTGTTGTAAGAATGCAAAATCGTTGAAGATGCTATACGTTTGGGGGAACACCATACTGCTGTCATCACCTTGTACGATCAGCGGTCAGACTTCACTCTCAGACTTTAAGTTGATACTTTTAGTCTTACCGTTTTTTAACCGACCTGCCTGACATGATAAGGCCTAGAGGAACATGCGTTTCATGTTGTATAGTTGAGTCGAGTCATAACGACAGGCAAGTTCGACTACTACGTAAAGGTAGCAGCCACGATCGAAATATTTAAAATGTCATAGATCCTATTGCTGTTTCTGGGTTAGTTTTAATCAGAAAGGGTGAATAACTAAATCATAGTGTGAAGTCTTGCTTTCTCCTCTGCATTAGTTCGTTTCCGACGCAATAAGTGGTAAATGGAAGTTCTTATGCATTTGTAACAAACATCCACACCAGTAGTAGTATCAGCATTCTTTGAAACCATTACAGAAATATAATAATAGTAAGCGACCATAATTATAGAGACAAGTGGATGCTCGTGCGCTTAGCAATTGAATCCGTTTTTGTGTAAGAGATTTATCCCTTCATGTAAACATTGGTGTGATAGCCAAGAAAAAATTATCACATGTTCAACATAATAACCGTAACTGAAAGACTACTATACTATGGGGTTGCTTAGGACCTTGTATACTAGAATAACACTGAGTTACTATGTTCAAATCATTGGGTGAGTTCGTAATATTACCTGTTTGACAATCTGAACGATATAACATAGAATTCAAATCTGCGAATCAGCGGTAGAGGAATAGAGGATACTTACAATAATTAGAATGCCCCATATAGTGCAACATTTCATCACAATAAACAGTAACGTACCCTAATTTTAATTGATCCGCACCTGACAATATACTACAGACAGTCCATCCAGCTAATTTAAAGGCATTATTCTTTATCTCAGCGGCCAAAACAGCCCCCCGTTGAGTATCAAGTTTAGTACGCCAATCGACACCACCACAATACTGAGACAAAAGATGTCAATAGAGTGGAAAAATTTCGTAAAAGACACATAAAATAGGATTATTATTATACGATAAATTATTTTATTAACTGCAGGGTTCTTTGTTTGGACGATTTCACCGTCACAGAATACTGAGTGAATAACACATACAGAATGTTATATTGATTTGTTTAGTTTCAAAAACTTACGAAAACAAAAATTGATTGACACTAAGAACTGATAAACTCAATACTCTTCCTGTAAAATCTCAGCGAATGAATTTGAAGTAAATCCAAGGTTTCGCCTGGCAATCTGGTCTAAGCCTTGTCAAGGAAATATCTTTACTTCAAATTCATTCGCTGAGATTTTACAAATACACTCTTCCTCTTTAATGTCTCACATCAACTCGGTGCCCAAATACTGTGAGACTATCCGATCAGATTTAGATGAAAGTTCTTATTTGATATTCCTTCGTTTGTTTTACTGACATCGAAAAACTAAGAGAAGGTATAAAGGCAAATGATTCCTCAAAACATACCGTAGGATAAAAAGACTGGTGTTAAACCAATTTTTCAAAAAGATGGATATGGTTCAGTGTGTGGTGTTATATCCGGTGAAGATTAAATTACAGGTAACTTCCAAGGACTATTCATGGACTAATATTCTATAAATATTCTTATTGTATAACTACTCAACAATTACACTATGTATATTTATATTCCTTTTATGATAAGCTTTATTTTGACCTATAATTTATTATTGTACGATTTACGGTTCAGTTTATGTTCAGTTTATTAACTACTGCCTCCCACATTCACAGCCACTTTTTGGGCTTATTTGTGTACAAATATTATTTCCTATTTTACGGTACGTTGCGATCTGTGTGATTGATATATAAACCAAGTATGCATGAAATAAACGATTCGATTCATATTCGGAAGCTGGTATTGTGTTCTGGACTCAAGTGGAAGGGCTCGGAGGACATAGGACCAATAAGGACGCTAAACTGCCCACACCGGTTGAACGTCATTGGTTGGCCTAGTGTGAAGATTCGTATAAGTTGTATTCGGATTGGTAGATAAGTCGTGTGATAGAAAGACCAGACGTCAAGGTTATAACATGTGGATTTAATGACACTAAGCAAATTTAGAGCAACGTATTTAAGCGAACAATCTTGTTTCCAGTTAAACCATTAGGCTGCAATATACAACAATATTTGCATGAATATATCAAATTATTAAGACTAATCAATACAATTTGAGTCAGTGATAACAGTGGAATAGATTACATGAATAAACATAATAAATAAAAATGTACAAATTAATAGTGCGATATGGCAGGTGTAGTAGATGTGATAAGAATGATAAAAGCTAGAATCAATGTTTTTTAACCGAAAGTAGATCAACGGCTTGAAGAAGTAGACGATGGAAAATGATGACAAAATAGTTTGTTAAGACTAATTCTGTCAAGAAATAGATAAGCGTGTTACAAATTTGTTATGAACACAAAGAATTGGGTTGTTTGCTTGAATCCCTGTCGTTTCCGCTGTATAAGATACAAAGTTAACCCCATAAGAAAAGCAGGTAGGTATACGGCAAATTACTTCAAATGATTTGTTTCTTTCTACATGATCGCTATCGATCAAGTGTGACAGAACACAGCTATGTATTGCTTTTCTCATATCCTTTCCCAACCACGAAACGAGCTGTTCACCAACTTGTTGTCTTGTTGTACCTCAGCATGGCTTTCTTTACATGAGCAGCTGGATTCGTCGATACACATGAATGTAGCAAAACCAAATGACTTATTCTTTATTTGTTAAATCACTATTGGTTGGTTAGAGTCCTCGATCTTCTACACAGATTAGTCGTAAACAGAAGCGTTGCGGACGTTTTCGATATCGTTCCCAAGGTAGAACATAGAAATTTAAATGGTAAACGGATGGTATCTCTAGATATTTCTCTCCTTTTATTTTTAAAATTTACAGTAAACATTCATTTTGTCCTTAATAATACAGAAAAAATGATGAAATAGTGGTGGTTTTGCCTTTTGCAATGTTTTGTGACTAAAGATAATAAAATTCAAGCTTATCAATAACCCGTGTAAGAGGTCCGTTTTCTAGTTTTTCGAGAGAAAAATCAGCAAGGATAAGAACCATAGTTCACCTGTCATCGCACTATTAATTTGTACTTTTTTATTTATTATGTTTATTCATGTAATCTATTCCACTGTTATCACTGACACAAATTGTATTGATTAGTTTTAATAATTTGATAAATGCATGCAAATATTATTTTAACTGGAAACAGAATTGTCTGCCTTGATATGTTGTTTTAACTTACAATATGAAGACGCTTAGTCTTATGTAACTTTGTCATGATATTCGTATGAAAAATAGTGTGAGAGAAAAATTAAGATCATACGAGAGATCGCTAAAATCACATCAACGTGTGTTTTAGTGATTTCTGAAGCATTTTTAGTGAGTATATCAGGATCAGAATATTATCGTCCTAAGAATGGACTGATATGGTAAATTAACAGTCGGAAGAAACCACAAATATTTTACATAAAAACTATATGAGGTTTAATGATTTTCAGAACAGGTGATTATTTGGACAGTTAATCAGAGTATTTGAGCTATCTTAATGATGCTTTATGATAGTCATTTTCTAAGCCCAATTCTTTTTGTAATGATCAGCGCTTTTCGTTACTGCATAAAAATGAAAAATAAATGTTCATAAAAAGAGTACACTGGAACTTACACGTGAATCAAATTCATTTAATGCGCGTATACATACGAATTGTGGACTGGCTGGCTGATCATCATTAGTCGGTTGAAGTACACCATTGACTTCGCAACGAATAACCATTTGAACATCATTTCCCAAATCAAATATGCGATATCGATATCCTACAGAACCTAATTCTTCTTTACCACCTTCGTGATTTTTGTTTTGAGATGGATTTGGACTATCCTCATCCTCCTCTTCATCATCTTTGAAAGGATTTTCTTCAGGGAACGAATATGTTTTACCACCCTAACAACAGGATATAATTCTATGAATTTAAATTCCCAATATAAATGATAAACAACCATATTTATTTAGATTAATTCATTTTTATACTTATTTCCCGTCAAAAATGTTTAAAATCAACCAGAATAACATACTGGTGTAACGGTATGCGTAAGACATATCTGATTGAAAACCAACTGATTAATAACAAAATAAGTAAACAATATATTCAGTTTTTTGTAATAAATTTTGAGTTATACTCTCTGTAATATGAAGAATTAAGATAGCACAAAACTATCAAACTTCAGCAGATGGAAAGTGTATTTCAAACCAGTGACTGGATGATCGAAATTTGGGTATCTCAACCATTGAACCATAGCTTTATTTTGATTAAAACATAGAACTGAATGGAAGATTCTTTTTAGCGCATTCTTATCTGGTTTTACATTTATGGAAAAATAATAGTCAAAAACATAAGTAATAGCTGTAAGATCTGATGAGAATTTATTGAAAAGAATACTTATCACTCATAGAACTGGTTTTTGATATCTCATTTAATACTAGCTATACCTGAACTTGTTTCGAACTGGACATAAATGGATATTTAAGCTCCAAAAAATTGTTAATCACACTGATTTCCACATTTAGTACAGAATTTTTTAGACTTACAATAACTTATTAACTCAAAGAGGTAGTAAAAATATTGAGTTAAATTAACTAGTGTTAACAGTTGTAGCCAAAAGTGATAAATCTTCTAATTGAACGCTAAATTCGGTTACTAAGCTTTTCTAGTAACCCCTAGGCTAAATATACACAGCAACCTGAACACGAGGGAAAAGGCGCGAGGTGCGGAAGAAACACCTTATAACAAGGTTCGTTTACGTACGGAAAATCTAGGGTATTTATATTGTTTTGGATGGCCTTGGACTCCTGGAAAATTCCGGGACGCTACTAAACATAGTAGCAGTATGGGCAATCATCCAGGCAGAAACAAGATATGTGATTTCCCAATTTCTAGAGGTTTCTGGCAAAACTTCTAATGAATGCTGACTGGAAAATACGTTTTTCAGTGTTTTCAGAACCCTTTTAGCTTTTCTCGAGGAATTTTCTGGATCTCCACAACAAAAATTGAAAAAGAAAGTCGAGGATAGTGCTAGGTACTGAGTGATTGAAGGAAAATAAACGATTAGCCGAACTATTTTGTCATACTCCCTTTGTTTTAGCCGTTTATAATGACATATCGTAGAACCTAATGGGAAGTTTTGGTAATGTAAATGATTTATGAAAAAGTCTCATTAAACGTTTGAATAGATGTCCATTTTCGGTATACGACGTCTTCACTTTTTTGGCTTATGACAACCGCCGTGTATGCGGTTAAGGTGAAGCAATGTAGTAACATAATGAGTGCTTGCTTTCCATTAAGCTGAAGACAACAGATTAATTATTTTATATATTACTTTGGTAAGACGACACCTTAAATCCGTGGGGTACTGGTGACTTTTGGTTGGACGATAGATAGCCAGCGAAAATAAACTTTCAATTTGTTTCGTGAAAACATAATTATATACGATATCGCTTTTTCTGAATAATGAAGGAAATCAAGTAATTTTATCATATGCGTCGTATGGTCGAGTTTATTTGATTGTTATTAGCTTATATTTCTTATTATTAAACAGTGATAACTCTAATGACATTAATGAGTGTGAAATAATGAGTAATGTGGTAAACCTTAAAGCCCAATATTTACAAAAAAGGCAGCTTGCATTTTAGGGAATTTGAGTCACAAATATGGGGTATGACCAAGATTATTCAGTTAGTCAACAATAAAATCTGGCCATCTGATTTATTCGCATATTAGAAAGTGTCTTCAGAAGTTTGAATAAAGGGGTCGGGATATTATTCTATAAGTCGGTAAGTCAGTCAGTAACAACGTAGAACTTAGTACGTACGTACATCAGCTCGAGTTGCCACGCCACTTTAGCACAGAGATGCAGTTGTCGATTCAAATCCCGTAGTGGTAGAGGTAGAAAGAGTATAAGCAGTAATCGGAAAGATTAGGGTTTGAAGTTGTTATTCAGGGAGTATAGCCCAGTGAAAGAAATTTGGGAAGAGAAAAAAAAGACACGGAGGAATCAGGAGATGCTATAAGTGATGTCATATGTTTTGGCTGGACATTTAAGACGGGAATCTGCATTTTTTTAAAGTTGCCAACTATTAGTACTTTACTCTTTTCGTAGACCTACAAATCTGAAACTCAAATAGAAATTAAGTATCGCTTACCATCAGTAGCATTTGTTGAGATAAATTGGTATTTATAAAAGTAGCTTCTAATGCCAAACGCTGGGGTGAATTAATATGACCAGGTTCTTCATTAGGTGGTTCTGTTGCAGTTTCACATACACTTACAAAATCTATATGTAAGATTGTGAGAAACAAATATTTATTTTGTGAGGTATATGCATTCAGGTTTATAAATGGTATCACTAACAGTAGATTAAATGGAGAAATATAGGAACAATTACTGGTCATCAAAACGACTTGTAGTTGAACAACAACCCCATAAACATTTTCAGTGTTAATTTGCTCGATAGCATACCACGTCTCAGTAAGCAGTGGATGAACATTCAGAGGTACTAAATCAACCTTACACCAGTAAAAACAGGGATTCTGTTTTTGAGTAAGGCATTCGTAAAGTTAAGTACCATTGTATAATTAGGACTTAAACTTTCGAAAAATCAATATTAAAGTAGTTTATTAAAAGGAATCGGATCCAAAAAAACCAGTAGGACGACAGGTTGGTCAAAAGGTTTGATATTCATTGTCACAGAGCTAAAATAGAGCACAAAGGTAGTAGTCTAAACTAACATCAATCAAGTGTTGTTGGAATAATCAAAATGGCTAAGTTTAGTTCGCTTGATTATGATTTGCGAAAACGTGTGAAAAACTGAAGTAAGTAGTGATCAAGTCTTAAAAAATATACACATAGTGGCTTATACTATTAATCTGACTTCTAATTGTGACGCCATAATATGCGAGACGCGGCAAAGAATAGGATGTTACTGAAGTTATATCATACTTCATAAAATTTCTTTATGCTGTGTATCTTTTACAAACCCTTCATAGTTCAGATTTTTGGATTTTTAATTTTTATCTTCCTTTTCAATCTTAATTCTGATATTTATCATACACTAGTTGGTGTTGTTGAAAACTGGCAGTTTAAGCAGCTTTAACACTGGATAAATTTTTCAGCCAGTCAGTTACTCAATCACATTTACAGAACATGTTAGGTATATAGTGATGAACTAGTCAGCACGACTAGTAATAGACGGACTCGCTAACAATGATATGAAATTTTTCGGTTGTGTGACAAACATCTGTCATCTTTCAAAGCTAATGAATTCCACTGCTAGCCACTATCCATCTTTGCTTATAATGCTTGTAAATTAAAGCAATATCGAGGCATACGCACAGTATGCACATATGCCAATAAGAGACTGATCAATTTCAGTCCTAAAACATCAATGAGACGATTCAAGTAAAACAATACCAAGTGAATGAATAGATTATTTACAAACAAGAACGAAATAAACTACAGTACCATACAGGTGAAACCCCGTGCAATGCAGTTTAGACTAATTGCCTTTTACAAGATACGTTAAAATATCTAATAAGATTATAAATAAATCCCAACCATTGTTCGAATACTTTCTGCAAAAACATACGAACTTACCAGATTCAGTATCTTCGCGCTTATCAAAGAACAAACGGTCTTGTATGCGTTGTACAATGAGATCCCAAGGATACACCGAACGAGTGCAACACATAATCATGGCAGCAATCGTATCTGTGCAATAAACTTTGCCAACGGAGTCGCTAGCTAAACGGTGAATTACTGGGTCTCTGGAGGTTGTAACTGTATGGAGAACCCGATTTACTCTTACAAGAGGACGTTCGTTTCGCGTGCTAACGCGATCATATGATTTGTCATAATACTCCATTTCTCCACAATTAACCCTACAAATAATAAATTAAGTTGTTACAACAGTTGAGAATTATATCAGAAGCAACAAATGCAAAAATACTCACTTGTCAATGGGCTCCTTTACGTTAGGTAGTGCCAACTTTGCAAGTCTAGCGAAATCTAGCTCTTCCAACATCGTCCAATTATCCTTAATTTGAATAGATGCGTCACGCACTGCCCTGTGGGCCTGCCTGCGATCAATATTAGAGCCCCAAGCGCCTGCATTGGATCTCCAACCTTGAGTCCCCCCTCGTCGCTGCCCAACACCTTGGGGGCCCCAGTGTTGCCACCGTCTGTTCTGTTGTAACATCATACGTTCTCTGTCTGATGCACTGCGTAGCTTACGGTTTACTACTCCACCCTGGTTTCCAATCATCTGATATCCTGACCGGCCTCCTGCCCAAGAATATCCTGAACCTGGACCACCCAAACCACGGCGGCCACGCTGAAATCAATAAATGAAAAACCGAATTCTGAATGTTTCAGTGAATATTTATATATATAATAGACTAGAGAACGCTGACTACGCTTAGAAAATATCAACAATCCACCAAGGTTGTAAACCGGATTCAGAAAAGCTAGTTGCAGACACGGAATTAGTCATCATGTAGAGCCTGGGACAAATGTTTACTAAAGTTGCTTTCCTACATTAACAAAACGACACAAAATTAATGAAACGAGTAGTGAGGTTGTCAAAATCATGTAGTAGCAAACAAAATTAGGCAAAACATTGAAGACATGATTACATAACACGGGTAGAGTTGTGTATGAGGGGATATTGGGAATCAAGAACAACATTAAAGCGAACATTCACCAGTGACCGTGGTATGGTCACATCCTCTTTTCTTCCTTACCAGATCAAAATAGAACAGGCGAGTTCAAAAGGCCAAAAACGAAGTGAGTGCCGGTGGCGTACAGATTTTCTCACTAAGTCATCAATTTTTGGGAGTAGTATCTACAACTTCAATTGGTTATTTCAAGAAAAGACTAGACACTAACAGAAAGTTATTAGGAAGGATTGGCATAGGCCGCCAGTCATTTCTTCGAAACACAAATCGAAGTTTGGAAGCATATCACAGATAGAACAAGTTCATAATACTTTGAAAATAAGTTTTAAGGCACTGACTTACAGTTAATAAATGTTAGAAATGATCCAAACATTCTGCTTTCACTAAAAGCATTAACAAAACTAGATTATTAATGTACTTATTTGATAACTTATGTATCATCGGCAAACCCCACTGATATCCCTGAACGTGACTTATTTATTACAAAGAAAACAGAAGATGAATGACAACGTCCAGTCACAAACACATGACGGAATAATGGAATATACTTAACATAGTTTACATACATGAGGAACGGAAGGTGGTAACTGAGTAAAAAACAATCTGCACACAAATTTTTTGTTACCTTGAAAATCATATTGAAGAGTACAAAAGTTTTGTACATGACTCAAGGCAATATTTAAGGGCTTTTCGATGTTATATCTCTGAGTGACTTATTCTCATCATTAGAATCAAAAACCCTAGAACTGTTCTTAAACGATCGAAAAATAGTGGCGTGAGGTTAATATGGTTCAACTTACCATAGGAAATCTATATCTTTGACGAATAGCGGGAGTTTTCGTCTCGCGAACGGAAGAAACTAGTTGGAAATTGCTGTCGTCCTCATCATGGTAGTAAGCGTACTGTGAACCCACAGACTGAGTGACATAGCGACCTAAAAATTTTAAAGAGTAAAGTCTATGTGAAACCTTTGTTTTTCATATCTTGAAAAATATTTCCTGACCAATCTGCAACCTAAACAATTACGAAAAGAATTATTTCAGAGGAAGCTTACTCTGCCTAAGCGAGTATCCTTTGAAAATGGTTGAAAAGGCATGTTTCTAAACTCTTCTGGTATATCTGTTGGACCCCAACCCGTAGGGTTATCGCTAAGAGAAAGGGATCCAAATCCGGGGAGAATTGCATCATCTGACAGCATGTTTTAGCCTTTAGATTGCGCTCTCCATCCCAAGCCCACTATCCAATATTCAATGCCAACAAACGAATATAATTTTTGTTAGTAGGGCGAACACTAAACTCAGATCACCTCCAAATCTGCGACAAGACAGAGAAAAGAGGATAAGAATATCAAGCCGTTGTTTGTGTGGTAATCCCGGGAGTTCTGGAATTTCACTTGTAGTTGTTATTTGTATTTTTCTAAATATCTAAATCACGTTTTAATAAGGGTTTTCAACTTTGGACCCCACTAATGTCTTGTATGCTGCGGGGAACATGTTGGTATCCAACTTGTTATCAGCCGTTCCTAAAGCCCATAGAGTTCTAAACTCCTTAGCTCCAGCATTACAGTAGTGGGCAGTATTCTCAAGATCATGGACCACAGTCAAACAAGATCCTTGCGAAACCGGACTATGGACACTGACTGTTCCCCTACGCTACACCTGTTTACCTTTGTCTACAAACTTGGAATGTGGACACACTTGGCGGCGTTAACAGACATCTTCCATTCTTGAGACCAGCTAACCAGAACATCTAAGTCCGCTTGAAATGCATACGCATCTACGTCCCTTGTTATTTCGTCGTCAGCGTAAAGTAGCATCGAGTATTCAGTCACACTTGTTAGCTTACTTACATACAGCATCAGAGGTAAGAGACCTAGCCTTGGGATACTCCACTATGCACTGGTTTACTATCTACCAAGAAATCCTTGATCCACTGAAGCAGAGATCTGGTAATTCCTAGATTTTCAAGCCTCAAGAACAGTCTATTATTTGGCTCCTTATCAAATGCTTTGTTGAAGACTATCTAGATAACATCTATTCATTTTCCATTATCTAGAGACTTTCCATTTCTCTCTTGCTAAACGGAGGTTTGCTGTGCGATATTATCCTTTCCTGTAACTGTTTTGTTCGCTGTTTAACACGTTTTCGGTCTCCACGTATATAACCACGGCACTGGTATGGCTGACAGGTTCGTAGTTTGATGCGAGTGGCCTTGATCCTGACTTAGGAATTGGAGTGACAATTTCATCCCTCCTGTTCGTAGGTAGCTCACCTTATTCAAGATACATATTGAGTATCGTAGTCAGTAGAGCAGTAATGTATTGCGCAATTTGCCTCGATATTTCAGGATGTAATTCATCTGGTCCTGTTGCTTCTTCTGTATTTAAAATGCTAACAGCCTTTGGTACCTCGTCTCGATCAAAGTCTACATTGAGCGTTCGATTTTGTGACTTTGTATTTAGGCCTCGTCTTCCATCCTTATTCCTCTATGTGAGAGGAACTTTAGTTGACAGGCACCATCACATTGTGTGAAGAACAAGTACAAGAGACAGACAATTCCTATTCAAACACCAAAAATTAGAAACACGAAGTCCGACGAAGAAGGAGCGCCTTTAATATGCCCTACGTCCGCGAAAGTGGTAGAGACCGACAGTTGCTTGCCACAGACAGAGATGCTATTCAACGCAATGTACCTCAGAGTAAATATACAAAGGCATAGCGAAGTTCCTGACTTAAGCAAGGCATGGGACGCTCCCTACAAGCCTGAAGGGGAGCCTTGTGTAAGTAGAAACCCTTGTAACCGCTCAGACTGATTGGTTAGGAGTTCAAGTATTCATTCACTTCCTTATTTCGTATAGGTATTGTATTTCCTATTGTCTTAGATTGAATATTGGGAAGCTTTGTTTGTCTGAACAGGTAATCCCACGTTCCACTGTGACTGCGAGGAGATTTAAATAAAGACCTATTCACTACTAGTCTAGTTTCTTCTATCACAAGAACAAGGTTTACCTATGGGCACGAAACTGGTGAGCTGTGATGAACTTAAATGTAACTTCATTTTTATCTCTAATATCATTTTACGTAGTCGTAAGAGTAGACCTTATGTTTGTTCGGAATCAAAGTTTAGTATACAAATTTATTCACAGTTTTTTTCTATCTTAAGGTATCCGTGCTACAGTAACTATTTTTCGTGCTGATTTTATTACTATGTTGATCATATACCTCATAACAGACTCAATGCAAACCATTGAAGATAGACACTGTTGTGACCACGAAATCTTCACTTCCAGAATTTGATCGTAGTGACCCCGAGTTGTGTTTTGCTTAACTAGAGCGTTATTTCACGAGACACAATATCCAATCTGAAGGAATTCACTATAGAGACTTATTTTCTATCCTTCCTCCTTCAGTCGCCAAAAACGTCCGTGACGTGATCTTAAACCCACCATCACGACAATCATACACCATCTTGAGGTGACAGATAATGAACCATTTATCATTATCAGACGGTCAAAGAATGCAAAGGTTTTTCCAAGGCGAGACATTAGATGATAGGTCTCCGTCACAGTTTTTATGTCACCTCCAAGACTTAATGAGTGATAACACAGTCAGTGAAGCAGTTTAAAAGCAAGGATGAATACAAGCTTTCACATGCTACGTCCGACACTGTTTGGATGCACAAGATTCTGAAACTTCCTTATCTCTTTATCGCGTACAGCCGATAGACAATTGGAAAGAGGTCCTCCAACTAGATCTCGCACGACAAATTACACACAAAAAGAACCGGCAAGAGACCCAGTCATAGAAGAACTCATTGCGAGTGTTAAAAGTCTCACTGAGGCTGTCTCCAGAATGTGAATGGGTGATAGAAATAGGAGCATGTCATCACAGCGACCAAGACCAAAGTCACAAAACAGGTCACAAATGTCCATACAATCTGGGCAGTTGTGTTGATATCACTGGAAGTTTGGTGTCAACTCAACCAGATGTATGCAACCATGCGCCTGGCCTAAACAGAATCCCAAGAATATGGGAAATGAATAACCCGTCCCCAGATCACGACGACTGAGGAGGGGCGCCTAAACAGTTGTTTGTTTTATGTTAAAGACAGAAACTCCAGCTTGAACTTTTTGGTAGATACTGGCTCTGCCCTTGGTATCATCCCTCAAAATAAAACTGAGCTGAGTCGAGAAACATCCTCAGTTAAAATTCAAGCTGCCAATAAAACTAAAATCGCGACATTTGGGCAGAAGACTTTAACACTAAATTTGGGGTTCAGGAGGCAATTTCGCTGAGTTTTCCCTATAGCCGATTTTGTTCTGGCAATACTGGTGATGGTTTTTTCTAGAGAGATACGACACTAAAAAACGACGCTTAGCACTGAAAGAAACTTCAGATTACCCGAAAGGCGAAGAAAGACACATCACATCTCTCGACTTGATACAAACTCCTCCAGTAGCAAGAGCAGAATTCCAGGATTTACTTGCTAAACTCCCGAACTTAACTAGACCAAACCAACAGCCTTCCAAAAGCAAACTAACAGTTAATCATACGATCGAAACCGAAGGTGCGCCTGTGTCTGCAAGACCCAGGAGACTAGCACCAGATAAGCTCGAAGTCGCTAGAGCGGAATTCGACTACATGCTACAATTGGGTATTATCCCTTCCTCTGACAGTCAATGGGGCATCTTCTTTGCACATGATCCCAAAGAAAAATGAAGGCGATTGTGGAACGTGTGGAGATTACAGGGCCTTCAAACGTCAAACTGTACCTAGGTACCCAATACCTCGTATCCAAGATTTCACAGACGTTTTACAGGGTACGAACGCATTTACTAAAATTGATTTAGGGTATATCACAGTATCCCGTTAGCTGAGGAAGATATCCCTAAGACAGCTACTACCATACGTTCTGGCTTGTTCGAGTTTGTACGCATGCCATTCGGCTTGAGAAACGCGGCACAAACACTTCAAAGATTCATGGATAGCCTACTTAGAGATATGCCATTTGCATAGGTATATATAGACGATTTGTTAATTGCCAGTCCCGATTTACAATCACACCAACAGCATGTACGAACAGTGTTAAAACGGCTGGATGAAAACGGAATGAACATACATCAAAGTAAGTGTGTTTTCGGTGTTCGAACAATAGAATTTGATGCTTCGGACAAAGCAATAGGCGGTACTGTTAACCAACTAGTTATAAACGCCTGGAAACCAATTGCTTTCTTTAAAAAAAACTCGCTCCAGTATAGACAAGGTATTATACCTTCGGGCGAGAACTTCTTGCAATCTACCTGATCATTAAGAACTTCCGGCAAATGTTAGAAAGCAAGGGATTCACAAACCACTAACAGATGCATAAAAGCGAGAGCTAATAAACACTCACCTCGAGAAGTCTGATACCTTGACAATATATCACAATTCACAAGTGACATCCGACATGTTAATGGTGAGGACAATCAGGCGGCAGATGATTTATCTCGACTAGAAATGGACATCCTACAGCAGTCAATGGTAAACTTCGAGACGTTGAGACACAAACAATAGCAATATCAAGAATTAAAAAACCTACTTAAACAAACATTACGAGCCTTAAACTAAAGCCTATCAACGTAATTCTAATTTACTGTGACACGACAAAGGTAATACCGTGACCTTTCGTTCCCAAAAGTATGCGAAAGTTGATATTTATTAACCTCCATTTTTTGTCTCAAGCTTCAAATTTGCAGAAGGATGTACACAAATGGGTTAGAGAAAGTACGGCATGCCAATAATCAAAAGTTAATTGTCACACAAATTTACCCATTGGTGTTTTCTCGCAACCAGATGCACGTTTTACCCATGTGCATATCGACTTATTAGGCCCTTTACCTCTTCCGAACGATTTTGATTATCTCTTTACATGTGTATATCTATTTATAAGATTCCCTACAGCCATACCGATAGCGGACAACACAGCGAAAACAGTAGCCAAGGTTTTCATAAATAACTGGGTGACCATTTTCGGTACACCCCCAACAATAACGACGGATAGAGGAGCGCAATTCGGATTCGAACTTTTCAATAACTTGGCTAAACTTCTTGGCTCCAATAGGATGCGATGCACGGCATATCATCCACAGGCTAATGGGATGATAGAACGTTTTCACCGTCAGCTAAATACTGCCCTTATATCTCACTCAAACCCAAATCAGTGGACAGAATTCCTACCGTTAGTTATGTTGGGAATACGAACACCTGTCGAAACTAACGCACAGTGTTCAGCAGCGGAGCTTGTCTTCAGAACGATTCTGAAACTACCGGGTGAGTTTACTAACCCTAATACTAGCAGTAAAAACTT